TTCTTTTGCTGTTCAGAAGCTTTTTGGTTTGATGTGTTCCCACTTGCTCATTTTTACTTTGTTGCCTATGCTTTCAGTGAGAAAATGCCAAGGCTAATATCAAGGATTTTTTTTCTCCTCTGCTTTCTTCTAGGAGTTTTGTAGTTTTAGATCTTACATTTAGATCTTTAACCCATTTTGAATTGATTTTTTGATATGGTGTAAGGTAAGGGTCCAGTTTTACTCTTTTGCATGTGAGTGTCCAGTTTTCCTAACATCTTTATTTGAATCAGAGTCTCACTCTGTCGCCCAGGCTGGAGTACAGTGGCATGCTTACGGCCACTAGAGTCTCAACTTTCTGGGCTCAGGCGATCCTTCCACCTCAGCCTTCCAAGTAATTGGAACCACAGGTGTGTGCCACCACACCCGGCTAATTAAAAAAAAAAAAATTATTGTAGAGATAAGGGCTTGCCAAGTTGCCCAGGCTGGTCTCGAACCCCTGGGCTCAGGCAATCCTCTCGCCTCCGCCTCCCAAAATGCTGGGATTACATTAGTCACCGTTCCTGCCTAATACCATTTACTGAAGAAACTATTCTTTCTCCATTATGTCTTCTTGGTGGCCTTGTCAAAACACTAGTTGCCTGCATGTGCTTGGGCTTATTTCTAGACTTTATTCTGTTTTAATAAAGGTGTGGATTTTTACTGCATATAAATCAAACCTCAATTAACCTGGCTATAAAAAAATTCCCTGTTTCACCAATGAGTTCCTTTCTTCTTGAGCTTGTTTGACCTGCTGTCACTCTAGCCTTGGCATCTGAAGTCCTTGCTGCCCCTGCCTCTACCGACTCACAGTGTCTGGTCCATGGAGACTCAGGTCTGTGTCACACCCTCTCATTCACTGCAGCATTCTACACACAGTTTACAATGACAGTAGTCAGGATAGGAACCAACCATGGATACTGGCTCTGGGCACCAGGCTCTGTCCTAAAGGCCTCAGGCTCATCCATTCATTCCTTTTGGCAATCCAATATGGTGGGTGCCATTATTTTCCCCATTTTGCAGATGAGGAAACCTAGGCATGGAGAGACTTGTCATTTGCCACACCCCTCTGCTGAGCTCAGACACTCATTCCTCTCACGCCAGCATCCCAGGAGGCTGCAGAAAAGCTTCTGGCTTACCAAGCTCTGCTGAACTCATGCCTTTGTTGGGCTGTGGTCCTGCAGCTACCCCATGGAGCTGAAGAAGCAGGCCTGCGTCTGTCTTTCCTCCAGCTTCTCAAGGAAAGGATTTATGTTTGAGCCTGGCCTATACCTGCAGCTCCATTAAATATTAGTTGAACAGGTGAGTCAGGAAGTCAGTGAGTAGAATTTGTATTTTAAAGATAACATAGTTGGGTACAGTGGCTCAAGCCTGTAATCCCAGCACTTTGGGAGGCCAAGGCAAGAGGACTGCCTGAGCTCAGGGGTTTAAGACCAGCCTGGACAACTTGGCAAGACCTCCTCTCTACAATAGATAGAAAAATTAGCTCAGCATGGTGGCGCACATCTGCAGTTGCAGTTACTTGGAAGGTTGAAGCAGAAGGATCATCTGAGCCCAGCAGGTCGAGGCTGTGGTGGCCATGAACATGCCACTGGACTCCAACCTGGGTGACAGAATGAGACTCCAACTCAAAAAAAAAAAAAATGATAGAGGCTGGGTGCAGCGGCTCATACCTGAAATCCCAGCAATTTAAGAGACCAAGGTGGGTGGATTGCTTGAGGCCAGGGGTTCAAGACCAGCCTGGGCAACATAGCAAAGACCTCATCTTTAAAAACAAAAAAATTAGCCAGATGTGGTGTCACTAGGAGGCTGAGGATCGCTTAAGCTCAGGAGTTGGAAGCTACAGTGAACTATGATCAGATCACTGAACTCCTGCTTGGGTGACAGAGACCCTGTCTCTAAAAACAAACAAACAAACAAACAAACAAACAAACAAGCAAAAAACCAAAAATCAAAGTAATATGTGATGGAGAGAATCTGACCTGCCCACAGCCACCTTCCTATGAGGGAAAGGAGCATGGGATAGGTATTGGAGGCCAAGTCCTGCTTTGACTTCTCTACTTGCTGTCTCTGGCATATCCTCGGTTTCACTTCCCTCATGGTCAGGGGACAGTCATAGCTGTCAAAGGGCTGCTGAGAGTGTCAGAGGAGACAGGTGCCCAGTATGGCCAGTGTCACCCTCACCCAGCTCCCCTGGGACTCCCTTGCCTGTGTGAGTGCCTTGGAGGACAGGTCCAGTGGATCCAGCCAGCTCAGGGCTGAGCTGAAGGCCATGATTGATTCTGTTGGGAAAATCCAGCTCTGTGAGTAACCTTACGTTGGTATCTCTGCCTTTGCTATGATGCAAACTTGCTCACTCCATGCCGAGACCACATCCTTCCTGCCCTGCTGGGGCTGTGGCCACATAAATTCAGCACATTTCCTCTCTAGCTGGTTCTGAAGCTCGCGTTTGGGTGAGTCCAGATCCCCGGAGCAGGATGGCAGCAGGGCTTGGGAGCACTGGGAAGGGTGTGTCGGGGGCAGAGTTTTTCTCGGTTGGTGGCCTAGGAGTTTCTTTTGCTGGCATCTGAGTCGGTCCTCTAACAATGTTTCTGGCATGTTCTTTTACATTTGTCATTGTTTTGGACTCTGTATGAGCAAGTGTATGTGTGTATGTGTGGGAGAAGCTAGGACAGGGCAGTGACTATAGATTATACCTATGGCTTCAGTAGATTTGCCTGGTGTCCCCCCAGGGGAGCAGATAGATGGGACACAGAGAAGAAGAGGAACCTTCGAACCATGGGGCGGTGAGGTCAGGGTGGGAGCAGAGTGTGCGAGGGCTAGGGTTGGAGCTTGGAGGAGGAATCCCAACAGGAAGGAGGATTGCAGGCGCCAGCAGGGAGAGTCTGTAGAGCTGGCTGGCCCATCTGGAGACCAGTCTCCCTAGGAGGCATAAAGAATGGACCTGGGGGCACATGAGGTCAGGGATAGAAAGGTAAGAATGAAGATGGGATGGGGAGAGAGGCATGGGCCTGAGTGTCTCGGCAGCGAACTGTGATCATAGAGTTCCAATCTGCAGAGTCCTGCCGTTGTCTAGGTCCTGTTCCTCCCTTAGGCGTGATCTGTGGCTTTGGGTGGATGTAGTGCTTTGCCAAATAGTGGACAATGAAGGGATCCAGGAGGGAGCAATTCCAAACAAAGTCAATGTATTTATCCAGCCACACCAGGAGACACAGAGGAGCTAAGGGCGGGCAGGTGATTCCTGATTTTTGTGGAACTCAGAAGCTAGTTAGGAGGACTTGTTAGTGAATATACCAAGACATATTTGTGGTAAATGCTGGGGAGGTGGATTTGTCTTTTAGCCATCTTTTAAAAAAATTTTTGTACCATCTTTGTTGTTTCTGTCTGATGGAAACATCTAAGTTAAGTGGGAGAAGACATAGTCTCGGACCTCTGGTCTAGATTCTGGCTCTGTTCTTTCCTGCTTGTGAACCCCAGGCATGTTTCTTAGTTTCCCTAAGACTCAGTCTCTCCATCTATAAAAAGGGGCTAGGAGCATAGGTACCTCAGAGAGCTTTGTGCAGGTTAGGCAAGCAAAAACACCAGTCAGTGCCTAGTCCATGATAAACTCTAAGTAGATGTGAATTATGATAATTATGATAACTGTAGGTTCTGCAAAGAGGCACTGAAGAGATGTATTTGTTTATTATCTCCCATATGCACCCCAAGGTCCATCTTAGTCCAGTTTCTGTCAGCCAGTGGACTGGTGGGAGGGCATTGAGACTGTCCCTCCTTGCATGCACCGTGTCCCCTCCTCCCTTCCTAGCCACATACAGCTCCTGTGCTCACCACAGCTGCTGTCTCCTGGGCACCTCCTGCTTTTGTCCATCATCCATCGTCCCTCAGGTCAAAACTGAACTGGAGACTTTAGTTGGAAGGAAGTTGAAACAATCCCTTCTGCTTTCTGGCTCTTCAGATGAGGAAGCTGACATTGAGGAATAAGAAAGAGTTTTTCCAGGGTCAGGGCCCAGTAAGCAATGGAACTGAAAGTCTCTGGGTGGCCTATCAAGGTGGCACCATGAAGTGGTTCCTCCTGTGATCATGTTTTGTTGTTGCTGTTTGTGAGTCTGGGTCTTGCTGTGTTACCCAGGCTGGAGTGCAGTGGCACGATCATGGCTCACCACAGCCTTGACCTCCTGATCTGCCTGCCTCAGCCTCTTGAGTAACTGGGACGACAGGCACATGCTACCACATCTGGCTAATTTTTTTTTCTTTTGAGTAGGAGTCTCATTCTGTCACTCAGGCTGGAGTGTAGTGGCATGCTCATGGCTACTGCAGTCTCGACCTGCTGGGCTCAGGTGATCCTTCTGCCTCAGCCTTCCAAGTAGCTGGAACTATGGGCATGCACCACTATACCCAGCTAATTTTTTGATTTATTGTATAGACGAGGTCTCACCAAGTTGCCCAGGCTGATCTCGAACCCCTGGACTCAGACAGTCCTCTCGCCTCTGCCTCCCAAAGTGCTAGGATTACAGGCTTGAACCACCGCCT